TATAGCTTTTTCCTTCCTGTTTTCTATGGGGAACATCTAACCATCCGAAGGTTATAATACTCTGAATTTGAATTTATACCAGCTTAACTTCAGTAGCACAAAAAACTGCCTCATCAAGTTCTATCCCTGCTAATGATGTCACAAAATTACATCTTCATGCATTGTATATCTCAAAATATAGATTAAAAATAGTTTTTGTATGCTTTAGTGCCTGAGGGGGAAAAAAACCTGTTTTCCTTTACTCTCAAATTTACAACACTTTTCTAAGCAACTCTGACACTATAACTGCCTGGAGTTAGCACTCAAACACACAGATTAAGGGCTTCCTCCCATAAAACTGCTCCCCATCCCTTGCTTCAGACACCAGCTGCAGCTCTAGGTTGTCACCTGGGCTTCTGACCGACTGACCATACATTGGGCTTCCCATAACCCCCTCCTCAGGTTTGATAATTTAATAGGGTAGCCTACAGAACCCAGGAAAGCAGTATACATACTATTGCTTATTTATTACAAAGTGTATTTTAAAGGCTACAGGTGAACTGCCAGATAAGAGATACATGTGGGGGTGAGGTGTAGGAAAATGGGAGGTGTGGGGAAGGGGTCCAGAACTTTCTCCAGGCACAACACCCTCCCTGTACTTCCATGTGTTAAACAATCCAGAAACTCTCTGAACTCCCTATTTTAGGGATTTTTATGGAGGCTTTGTCATATAAGCATGATCAATTGTTAATTCATTTTCTAGCTCCTTTCCTTTTTCTGCAGAATGAAGGGTGGTCAGAATTTCCAAGCTTCTAATAATGGCTTGGTCTTTCTGGGATTTGCTTCACAACCCCTTCCAGGAGCCCCCCAGGAGTCACCTCATTAGAACAAAAGATGCTCCTATCCGGAACCAGGGGCAAAGATCAGTATATAGATTTCTTACTATTTTATAATTAGTCTGTCAAATCATGTAGAAAACAAAAAGTGGCATTAGAAATCAAATTACATTAAGATTAGCTTTTATAATTGTCCATATGTTATTTACTTTTACCAGGAATCTTTATTTCTTCATACAGCTTTGAGTTACTGTTTAGTGTCCTTTTATTTCAACTTTCTGGACCCCATCAGCATTTCTTGCAGGGAAAGTCCAGTGGTAATGAACACCCTTAAATTTTGTTTATTTGGGAATGGCTTGATTTCTCCTTCATTTTTGAAGGATAGTTTTGACAGATATAAGACTCTTGGTTGACTGTTTTTTCTTTCATCACTTTGAATATATCAACCTACTGCCTTTTGGCTTCCAAGGCTTCTGATGAGAAATCTGCTGGAAATCATATTTGGAAATATGTGATGAGTTGCTTCTTGTTTTCAAGGTTCTCTTTGTCTTTGGACAGCTTGATTATGTTGTGTCTCAGTGTGGATTTTTTTTTTGCATTTAGCCTAGTTGATGTTCATTATGCTTCTTGGCCTATATTCATGTCTTTTATCAAATTTGGGAAGTTTTCAGCCATTATGTCTTCAAGAAATATCTCTGCCCATTGCTTTCTGTCTTCTAGGACTCTCACAATATATATGTTGGTCTGCTAAATGTCCCACAGTTCCTTTAGGCTCTGTTCAATTTTCTTCAATCTTTTTCTTTCTGTTCCTTAAATTGGTAATTTCAGTTGTCCTATACTCAAATTAGCTGATTCTTCTGCTTACTCAAATCTGCTTTTAAGTCCCTCTAGTCAGTTTTCATTTTAGTTATACTTTTCAGGTCCAGAATTTCTTTGCTGTTTCTTTTTGTTTCCGTGTCTCTCTATTTCCATTTTGTTCATGCATCATTTTCATGACTTTGTCCACATCCTTTTTTTTTTAATGTCTGTTTGAGCTGTTCGAGTGTCTTTAAGGCAGTTATTTAAATTTTTTTGTGTGTAACAAGTCCACCATCTGGTCTTTCTCAGGGACATTTTCTGTTTTTGGAGATTGTTTTTAAAGTGGAAATCTGAATCTTATAATGTAGGAATCTGAAAGTCAGATTCTCCCTCTTCCTTAGGGTTTGTTGTTTGTTTATTTGTTTATATGGTTTTTCTTTTTTTGTAAGGTATTATTGATATACACTGATGAAGGTTGCACATGAAAAAACAGTGTGGTTACTACATTCACTCATATTACTGAGTTCCCCCCCCCATACCCCATTGCATTGCAGTCACTATATGGTTTTTCTTTTTGATTGTTATATGTGGTTTATCTCTGTGCCAAGATCATCCTGAGGTGTAAATGTAAGTTTCCTCAGATATTTTTCTGAACCTGCATCTTTTCTTCTGATATATGTAGTTGCTTCTGAATATTTCAGTCCTTAAATGTCTGCTTCCCAAAAGAGAAAAAGGCAAAGACAGAGGGGGAAAGAAATTGGCACCAGCCCTTTAAATACCCTGGAAATCTGGTTAGTTGGAGGAAGAAGGATTTGTAACAATGGCAGTGGGCCTTTCAACAGTGGCTTCCCACCTCTGTGTCTTCACCTCATGATCAGAGGCAGCAACTGGAGATCAGAACACATTCCCAGAATTTGGAGCACAAGATTTTTATTGCCCACTCTGGCTCCTACAAACTCAATGTAAGCTGCCCCATGAATGTGTTTAAGGCTGCCTGCTATGGGACCAGGGGTGTTTTAGGGTAGCCTCCACCTACTTAAGAGCTGAAATCAAAATTAACCATAGTTTATCTTCCAATTTAATTTCCTGGAAATTGCCAACCTTAAAGAGACTCCATTTTACATCAGACAGATTCTGAAGGTGTAATTGTTATCTTGGTAGGGCAGAGATTTCTGATGCTTCCTACTCTGCCATCTTCCCTCCTCACTTCTTGTGTCCTTTAGACACAATCCTAATCACCTTTGAAAGTTCTATTATTTTCTGGCAAGATGTACCAGGCTCATTTATTGCCACCTTGTTACATACTTGTAGTCAGGAAAGTCTCTTCCTTTTAGTGAGAAATGGAATTGGAGACCAAAATCTGAGCATGAAGATACTGTGAGTTTGCATAGAATATTTTGTATTTAAATTTTGGTGTTTTTACTTCTCTGAAGTAAATTCTTCCAAAAAGAGAATCTTCACTTATGCTGGATATCCCAGTTTCTCATATTATTTTAAAACCATTTTACTGTGAAAAATAGTACTCAGAAAAAGTGAATATAAATGCATAGCTTAATGAATTATTACAAAGTAAAGACTTTGTGAAACATTGCCACCACCGCAGTAGTTCCCCTTATCACGTGACCTCCCTGCCCACCACCCCCCATCCCCCTCCTCCAATACAACTTGTAGCCTATTGTCTGGACATAACTTTTTGGATTCCTCTATTTCTGTTCTGTGATATTCCTGTAATCGGAATAAAGGCTGCAGTTGCTTTCTTAAGTTCTGCTTTCTTTTTCTTAAGCTTGTGTTTGAAATGTTAGTTTTTCCTTGATCTGCGGCAGCATTTTTCTGGTGAATTTGCTTTTTCTCTTGAGAAATTACAATCTTCAATTTCTTTTTTCTTTCTTTGTGCATAACTTTATTTCCTTAGTATAAATGATTAGATGTGGAATTGCTGTATAAATGGTACATAAATGAGTTATAAAAAGTAGTTTACACTTCAGTCTTCTCCAAACCTATGACTTCACTAACCAAAGTTCCTTGCCTAAGACTATTCAGTCCTTTAAAGTTATATTGCTAGCTTCACAACTGCTCAAGGTTCTTTTAAGTGTCTGAAATGATTCACAACTACTTTATCTTGGAAATCATACTGGCTGATTCCTTTATAGCTGATTCCAAGCCCCTGAGCAAGTCCTTGTTGATCCTTTACTGCATAATAACGGACATCATAAGTCAGTAGAGCTTCTACTATTTTCATATAGTGAACCACAGTTTGGGTCCAAGCCAGATCTTTGATATTCAAATAATCTTCAATTACTCTATCATCATAGTAAGCAAGGGATGGATGCTCCTGAAGAGTTTTGGTTGGAAAAGCTGGTAATATCTTTAAATCTTTTCTGGCATTTTGATCACAGAGGACTTGAAGTGAAGTGACACTAGGTCAGTTGATTGGCTGGTTCTTGGGACTCTGAGTCTGAGCTGTCCGATGGGAAAAAGAGGATGTGGAGGAGGGAACAGGAAAGCTGGGGCGGAGTAGACATAATCTTCAGTTTCTATTTTTATGTTTTTGTATCTTTTATGGATACATACTACTTATGTTTTCTATTGGAATGGATTTGTCTTTTCTGGACCTTCCCAGCACAGGAATGGGTGGGATAGCTTTCCCAGTTTCTCAGCTCAAGAGGTCATTCTCCACTACTCCTGGAATGGACAGCTTTAAAATATACGATTCTTGGATCCTATCCTGTTTCAAGAGATTCTAGTACCAATTTCTTCTTTTCTTCCCTTCACAGCAGTGACCCATCAAAGGTACTGCCCCTGACTTCTAAGACAATAGCCCACCCCCCCCACTTTTAAAAAGTCGGCTTCTTTTCCTTATCTTCTCCGGTTTGATCTCAGACCTGTCCACAGCATTTTCCACTTAGGTTGAGACCTTCTTCAATAGGTAGATATTTTTGGAGGGTTTCTAAGTTTTGCTAAAGCCAGAACCCATCTGAAGCGTCCGTTCTTCTACCTTTGTGGCTTTCTGCACCCATTCTGCTGGTTTGCGGTGTTCCTTCACCTTCACACTTAATATAATCTGGAGTGTGAGGGTTTTCTTAGAATTTTATTAAAGGTCTGTGGGTTGTGGAATATATTATTTGTTCTCTTTATAGCATTTTATGAAATAAAAACAAAAAGCTGCCAAGGAGGAAAAATAGTATGAGTCACATCTAGCCTTCCCCCATGCTCCTGTCAGTCAGCCCTGCCTCTTAGAAAGCCCAACCTGGACAATGACCTGGAGGCAGGATAATTCAGTCAAGAGGTGATGGAGGCCTAGGGTAAGGAGTGGAGATAAGGAGGAGGGACTTATGAAACAAGAATTTGAGCTAGGGTGAATTTCACTTTCTCTCCTCTCTCTCCAAGGACACCGAGAAGTCAGTGTCCTTGGACATGTTTCCATCTCCTGGAAGCAGCGGAGTGCACACCTCCTGGAACCATGGCCCATCCATTCACTTTCCTCGACGCACACAGCTGGAGAGGGTCCCTGTGGTCTCTGCTGAGACACCCAGGCAGAATGCAAGTGAAATGGGGCCACGGTTCAGCATGTTGCTGCCTGAGCTTGGTCTGAACTACTGCCCTCAAGTGACTGTTACTGCTTCTCCGATCATTTACTCTCAGGGTGTATCTTCCTCCCAGCCAGAAATGATGATTTTCAAGGGGCCCCAGACAATGCCTTCAGGAGATCCCAGTATTCCAGGGATGGCCATGACCTTCGGTGAGAGTTTAAGGGTGGCCCCCAGCGGGTTGCCAATCTCAGCTCCCAGTGGCATCCCAATGATGTCTCACATCAAGGTGCTAACAATGCCTTATTCCGGCCCCCAAGCAGTACCTTCTAACAGAGACTCTTTAACACCTGAAATGTTATTGGGCCCAACCATGCCTTCTACTGAGGCCCAGGCAGTGCTCCCTCCTGTGGCTCATATGTTACCCTCTACAAATCCCCACGACTTTGGGATGCCCCCAACTGGTTCCCCATCGCTGCTGGCTTTAGAATCCCAGGACTCTGTGAGCCAGCCAGGTTCCCAGGAAGACCCCTTCCTACCTGAGCAGCCAATACCTGTTCCACGTAAAGCAGAGCAGAACTCCGTGGCCCAGGAAAGGGCTCCCAGGAGGAGATCCCCCATCTCAAGGCCTTACCGCTGCCAGCATGAGAGCTGTGGAAAAGCTTATACTAAACGCTCCCACCTCGTGAGTCATGAGCGCAAACACACAGGTGAATGAGGTGTCAGTCGGGTGGGGTGGGACTGGGTGAAGCCATCTCTGGTCTTCAGATTTGTGTTGGGTTACTGCTTTGTAATGCTCTTGGATTAGCCCGTCACCTTTCAACCTTGAGATTGAGTTGTGTGGGCCCCCAACTTGCCTTAACACAGGCCCGTTTGTGCCAAGGTGACTGGGATTGCTGATTGTGTTGCCTCCTCACCGCTTTCCTATTTTTCCTTTTGATTCCTTAACCTTGATTGCTCTGCCTCGTAGAGTCAGACCCCTTCCTTTCCACATGCTGGCCTGTGCCTCTACTTAATTCTTGGAATGGACAGCTTTAAAATATACGATTCTTGGATCCTATCCTGTTTCAAGAGATTCTAGTACCAATTTCTTCTTTTCTTCCCTTCACAGCAGTGACCCATCAAAGGTACTGCCCCTGACTTCTAAGACAATAGCCCACCCCCCCCACTTTTAAAAAGTCGGCTTCTTTTCCTTATCTTCTCCGGTTTGATCTCAGACCTGTCCACAGCATTTTCCACTTAGGTTGAGACCTTCTTCAATAGGTAGATATTTTTGGAGGGTTTCTAAGTTTTGCTAAAGCCAGAACCCATCTGAAGCGTCCGTTCTTCTACCTTTGTGGCTTTCTGCACCCATTCTGCTGGTTTGCGGTGTTCCTTCACCTTCACACTTAATATAATCTGGAGTGTGAGGGTTTTCTTAGAATTTTATTAAAGGTCTGTGGGTTGTGGAATATATTATTTGTTCTCTTTATAGCATTTTATGAAATAAAAACAAAAAGCTGCCAAGGAGGAAAAATAGTATGAGTCACATCTAGCCTTCCCCCATGCTCCTGTCAGTCAGCCCTGCCTCTTAGAAAGCCCAACCTGGACAATGACCTGGAGGCAGGATAATTCAGTCAAGAGGTGATGGAGGCCTAGGGTAAGGAGTGGAGATAAGGAGGAGGGACTTATGAAACAAGAATTTGAGCTAGGGTGAATTTCACTTTCTCTCCTCTCTCTCCAAGGACACCGAGAAGTCAGTGTCCTTGGACATGTTTCCATCTCCTGGAAGCAGCGGAGTGCACACCTCCTGGAACCATGGCCCATCCATTCACTTTCCTCGACGCACACAGCTGGAGAGGGTCCCTGTGGTCTCTGCTGAGACACCCAGGCAGAATGCAAGTGAAATGGGGCCACGGTTCAGCATGTTGCTGCCTGAGCTTGGTCTGAACTACTGCCCTCAAGTGACTGTTACTGCTTCTCCGATCATTTACTCTCAGGGTGTATCTTCCTCCCAGCCAGAAATGATGATTTTCAAGGGGCCCCAGACAATGCCTTCAGGAGATCCCAGTATTCCAGGGATGGCCATGACCTTCGGTGAGAGTTTAAGGGTGGCCCCCAGCGGGTTGCCAATCTCAGCTCCCAGTGGCATCCCAATGATGTCTCACATCAAGGTGCTAACAATGCCTTATTCCGGCCCCCAAGCAGTACCTTCTAACAGAGACTCTTTAACACCTGAAATGTTATTGGGCCCAACCATGCCTTCTACTGAGGCCCAGGCAGTGCTCCCTCCTGTGGCTCATATGTTACCCTCTACAAATCCCCACGACTTTGGGATGCCCCCAACTGGTTCCCCATCGCTGCTGGCTTTAGAATCCCAGGACTCTGTGAGCCAGCCAGGTTCCCAGGAAGACCCCTTCCTACCTGAGCAGCCAATACCTGTTCCACGTAAAGCAGAGCAGAACTCCGTGGCCCAGGAAAGGGCTCCCAGGAGGAGATCCCCCATCTCAAGGCCTTACCGCTGCCAGCATGAGAGCTGTGGAAAAGCTTATACTAAACGCTCCCACCTCGTGAGTCATGAGCGCAAACACACAGGTGAATGAGGTGTCAGTCGGGTGGGGTGGGACTGGGTGAAGCCATCTCTGGTCTTCAGATTTGTGTTGGGTTACTGCTTTGTAATGCTCTTGGATTAGCCCGTCACCTTTCAACCTTGAGATTGAGTTGTGTGGGCCCCCAACTTGCCTTAACACAGGCCCGTTTGTGCCAAGGTGACTGGGATTGCTGATTGTGTTGCCTCCTCACCGCTTTCCTATTTTTCCTTTTGATTCCTTAACCTTGATTGCTCTGCCTCGTAGAGTCAGACCCCTTCCTTTCCACATGCTGGCCTGTGCCTCTACTTAATTCTCTCTTCCTTGTCACCCAACTCTGCAGGCGAGAGACCCTACAAATGCATGTGGGAAGGCTGTACGTGGTCTTTCTTCCGTTCAGATGAGCTTGGACGACATATGCGTATCCACACCAGATATCGACCATATAGATGTGATCAGTGTGGCCGAGAGTTCATGAGATCTGACCATCGCAGGCAGCATCAAAGGACTCATCTGCGGGTGCCAGGATCTCCACACCGACCAGCCAATGATGGACACATGGCTGGTCCTCCTGTTGCTGGTCTGTAGGTCAATCTCCTCTTCCCTGAATGTGGCTTCTCCACCCAGATCCTGCCTACCTCTGAGCAGCTAGTCTCTGGCAGATATAGGCTTAGGTGAAGACAGAAAGATCATGAGGCAGTGTTGAGGCCTACATGAGCTCCGGACACAGTCAAGGAATCCTCAAAAGCTGTTTTGGACGCCCTCTCACCTCTCTGGGGCCACTTACTTCTGCAGAGTTTAGCCACGTGGGAAGATGGAGCAAAGTACAGGTTGGAAGCTTTATTAAAAAGCTCTTTATCTTAGGTCACTCCCCAGCTTGAAGCCCTTCAGTGACTCCTTTGCCTGCTACATAATATCCAAGTTCCTCATTTTTGTCTATCACAGTTTCCAGAGCCAGACAATGTTTAAATCCTGAATTGACCACTTATTAGCCGAGACCTTGGGGAAGGTTTTTGATCTCTATGCCACGTTTCCTCTTCTGGTAAACGAGAAAAACAGTATTGGACTGTCTGGGACACATCTTACATATCCAGTCTGGTTCTCTCTGGTACTCGCCAGCCACATCTCCTTGCACCACTTCCAGACTTGGGGGGAATGTCCCACCACAACCATGGGATCTGGCATTTGAGTAGCCACTGGCAGGGGGGAGGTAATGCTCTTGGGATGACATTTGATTAATGGTAGATGGGAGAGAGCCAGGCAGAAAAATTCTTTCTTCTTCTGAAGTGCTGTAGTGCTGTAAGGCTACCTTCCCTGAAGTGCTGTAAGGCTCTTCTCCAGACAGCAGAGCCGGTGAGGAGGCCTCCTATGGAGCTGGCAGCCACTCCTGCCAGGCTGCTTGGGGCTAGTCGGCAAGCAGGACCCAGACTGCTCCCACGTGGCATGATGCTCAGTTCTTCCCTGCTTCCCTTTTCCCAGGCTCAGTGCCCTAGGTTTGTACCTCCCAAATCAAACATCAGTATTTAGTTCTTGTTTTAGGTTCTGTTCTCTAGGTGTCTTGGGAGTAGAGGACATTAGACTGGAGCAGAGAAGGACGAACCTCACTATAACACTGAGGGCGGGTACCCGGACTACCAAATACCAGGTATTAAAGGACCTGCTGCCCTTTAACAGCAGGGTTGAGGGCATAATGACTATATCCTGGCAACACAGCCAGGTAGTTCAGAACCTCACTTCTGGATTTTAACCCTTATACTGGCCAGCAAACTCATAGAATGGAACTTGCCCTAGCGCTCAGTTGCCAGAGCTGAGATCCCAGCCATGATCTGTCTCCTCCAGAGATGACGCTATCAACGGTCCCACACACAGTTTGAGGCAAGAATCAGGCCCAGTTCCCGTGGTCAAGGGACCATCTTAGTCTAGCGGCTGAGAGGCCCACCTAGGTGCAGTGGCCATGAGAGAAGGTGCACCTAAACGGGAAGGTTAGAAAGAATTTGGGGGAGGTGACCCTTCAGCCCAGTTAGCAGATGCATGTGTTACCTAATAGTCCCTCAAATGTTGAAATAAACTGAGCAGGTGAATGAAGAGGAAAGAGAATTTCAGGCAGACAGAGAGCACTGGCCTCGGCATCTGCTCAGAGGAGAGTCAGCCTACAAGCCTCTGTTCATGCAGCAAATGTTCTTTGAGCCCACAATGCAGAGAGCACTGTGGCTGTGAGGGCTCCCTGGGGGCACAGAGACAATGGAGGGCTGTGTCAGGGAAGAAGACTTCTCCAGGAGGTGCCCAAGTGAGCCCTGAAGGGTTCCTGGGCATTAGCTGGACCTCCCATTCCCTGGACATCTACACTTTATCACGCCTTGTGCTGGACACTGAGGACTCAGAGCATGAGGGTTCCTTGCTTGCTGTGGAGCAGAAAGATCACAAGTGAAACTTGAGGAAACACTCCATGCTGCCGAGGAGGCCCAAGCTCGTGCTGGGTGTCTGGGCAAGTTTAACTTGGGGGCTTGGCTGTGCTTCAGCCCTGTGTAGCGTGGCCACCTGCGTCTCTTCCCCTCGTGCCTTCCAGATAGACTTCTGGGCATCTGGTGCCCAGACTCTGGGAAGGGAGTGGGTGTGATAAAAATAAGGGCAGGGGGCGCTCATTTTCAACCCAGTTACTGGCCCCAGGGACTGAGGACTCAAGTACTTGCAGTCTCTCTCATTCCCACCTGGGCTCTAGGTCCTGCCCACCTGGGGCAGGACATGTCAGACTCAGTGGCTCCCACTGGCTCACAGGCAGCCCTCCCAGCAGGGTTAGCGGGCGGGGTTCCTTTCTGGGAGGCGAGAGAACAGTCTGTTGGTGACCCATCACTGTCTCTGAGGAACGAGAGGGGAGGATTCAGTGGGCAGGGTTGCACTGTGTATACTTCAGTGGGTAAAACAGGCTCTTGCCCTTGGGTAGGTCACAGTCTAGTGGAGGAGGGATGAGAGAAATGTGCTCTAAGGACGAATATCAGAGACTTGGTGAAGTGGTCCAAGGGGGCTAGGAAGGCCTTTCTTGGGAAGTGTGGTTCGAGCTCAGGCACAGACTAACTAGCAGTGAGGCAGATAAAGGAGGTGAGCTGGTGATTGGAAGAAACCAGTCCGTCCTTTACCCGGTGATTGCCCTGAGGCTGGCCTTCGCTAAGCCTTTCCCAGTATCACCTAGTTCAGCACAGGCCAGGATAGGGGGTGGGTAAGACATTTGTGTGACCAGTAGATTTTGAATCCTGCCTCTGCCGCTTCCTGGCTGTGTGGCCTCGGGCAGTGTACTCGCTCTCTGCTTCAGATAGCAGTGGAGAAAAGTGAAAGAAGTCAAGTGAAGAGAGAACTAAGTGCACTTAAAAATGGTTCTTGAACTCCAAGAAGCGACTAGTGGTTACCAAAGGGGGGAGGGGTGGGGGAGGGCGAGTGGAGAGGGAAGGAGAAGGGGATTGAGGGGTATTGTGATTCGTACACATGGTGTCAGTGGTGGTGGGGTCATGGGGAAGACAGTGCAGCACAGAGAAGACAGGTAGTGACTGTGGCATCTTACACTGATGGACAGTGACTGCAATGTGGTATGGGGGGGACTCGATAATATGGGTGAATGTAGTAAACACATTGTTTTTCATGTGAAACCTTCATAAGAGTGTATATCAATAATAGCTTAATAAAAAAAAAGGTTATTGACTGGCCTAAGGGAAAGGGAGGGGCTTGACCACTCCAGATGAGTGAAAGGGGGCTTGGACCAGGGTGGGCTGGTGGAGGTAGGGAGTAGCAGAAAGAGGAGGGAGAGAAAATTAACTGGTGATAACTGGATTTGGTTGGTAAGGGAGTGGTCCAGTACTACTCCCAGGTTCAGAGCTTGTGCTGTAACTCAGAAGGAAAATTGAAGTTCATTAATTTTTTATACTTTTTTATCATGCTACACTTGTATGTGCAAAAAACATCTTGTATATATGCAATTTAAAGAATAATAAAAACAAACATTTGTCCTTTATGCCACTTGAGGGAGAGGACAAGACATGTGAAGCCCCTGAGTTCCCCTTGCCCTCCAAATCACACTCCCTGTCTTCTGCCAAGGTAACAGCTGTCCTGAATTTTGATTCATCTTGCCTTTCGCTTTTCATTGTTGTTTTTACCATATATGTATCTTCTTAAACAATATGATTGGTTTTGTGTGGTTTAAACTTTGTTTTTTCCGTTTGGGGTTCACTGAGCTTCTTCAATCCAAAGGTTTATGGTCTTAATAAAATATGGAAAGATTTTGGCCACTCTTTTGTCAATTTTTTGTCTCCCACCCCTGCCACTCTTCTCCCTCTGGCTCACTGTCTGCCCCTGTAACAGACCACTTGGTAGCAGGTCACTGATGCTGTGTACACTTTTTTCAGTCTTTCTCTGTTTGATTTTAGATGTCTTCAAGCTAACTGGTCTGTTCTACAGAGTCTAACCTGTCAGTTCCAACCTGTGTGGTTTTTAGGTGCTGTATTTTTTGTCTCTAGAAATTCCAGCTGGATGTTTTTTTTACATTTTCTATTTCTCTTCTTATGCTTAATGTTTTCCCCTACCTTCTTGAACATATGAAGCATAGTTTAAAGAGCTGTTTTAATGTCCTTATGCTTTTTCCACTGTTTCTTTTTTTTTTAATTCTTATTAAGAACCATACTGCTCTGAATATTCCTTCCTCAACCTAACACTTGTGCTGTTTCTCTTTGAGGCGTTTTCCTAAGGGTGGTTGTCGACTCAGTGGGTTGTGAGCTGACTAGGGTAGTAGGCTTGCCAGGCAAAGTGAAGAACCTGGCTGAGCTTGGTGACCATTAATTTATGGATGTATCCATCTGTCCTGTTGCGGAACTTCCTCCTGTGGCATCGGCTGCTTGTATAGTTGTTTAGAGTCTGCAGGGGCTCGGTCTTTGCCAGGTGAGTGCCACAGCAGGACAGAGGTCAGGGAGTCTCAGTCTGATCTTTCTCTGTTTCATTTAGATGTCATTAGAGTGTATGAAGCAGGTCCTAAGTTCTCATAAGGGAGCTCCCAGATGGTAGGGTATGAATTCAGAGGGTATAGTGGGGTAGTTGGGGAGAGAGTTCAGGGGAAGGATGGGGAATACGAATGTGAGAAGGGAAGGTTCCCAGGTCTTTGGTGGGACACCAACCTTGCACAGCTGTCGGATCTCATTATCATTCATTCATTCAAAATTTTACTGAGCATTTGCTCAATGCTCAGGAGCTCTCAGCGATGGGGATACAGTGGCCAAATGGTCAACTGGGTCTTACCTCCTGGAGCTCTGAGCTAAGTGCAGGGAAGGATAACCCAGGAATGTAATCCCAATTGTATTTGGCAAGCCCTTTGTGGGTGCCTCATGGATGGAGGCTTCTGGGCCAAAGAGTGCGCAACTGCATATGAGGAAGGAGGCAAGATGGTGGTCTGCAAAATCAGCAGATTGAGGAGTGGTGTTTGGGGTGAGGTGTTTAAGCAAAAAAGAATCTGACTTCATTGTATAGGTCCCCTACACACCCCAGCCACGGTCCCTGGTGGCCAGCTTTGCTGGCAACTCCTGCGCTGGGTACGTAGGGTAATGACTGTCAAA